AAGAGCATCCTTCCTTCCTCTTCAGCTGAATGAGACAGCAGTCACCAGCAGGTCATGTGACTTGACCCTGAAAAGAGGTGGACAATTCCTCTTCCGATGCCTCCACCAGGTTCTTTCCAAAGCAAGTTGTGATTGCTCACCTGTCAACCCTAAGTGAGACAGGGAAAGGCATTCAGCTGCCTCTTCCCTCCGCAGGAAAAGGAAAATCAAGAACAGCTGCTCTAAATAAAGAGTTACACAAACCTCAGAATGAGAGGAGGCCTAGCCACCTTGGCAAGGCTGTTTTCCCTTGTCAGCATCTTCTTGGATGCAGTTTGTTTGTTTGCTTCCTTGGGTCATACACTGCCTGCCTTGATGATTCCCTTCTGCAGCACTTGGTCGTTCTTACCTTAGTCTTCCTGTGTGCAGCCGCGCTCCCCCTCCATGTGTGGGGGCTCTGTAAGGTGGCGGGACTGCATCCATCTCTTGGTCATCAAGGCCATCAAGAGACTGTCTGAGCCAAACATTAGGACAAGTGACCTGATGGTACATTGAACGCATAATTTTAAAGTCATCGTGAAAAAAAAGATTAGGGATAATCACTGTAGCCATGGAAACCCTCATGCAGGCATATTGACCGCACTCCACGTCCCTTAAAGACAGAAAGGGCAATTCTTCTTTCTGTCTTTGTGTTAGCTCACTGACGTCTAACTCAGGGACCTGCAGCTTTCCTCTAAGAATGGGAAAAATAAGGCAAATCACCAGTGAACTTTATTTACAGTGATCTCACACCTCTCTCACACACACCCTAAGCCGTGGCCAGCAGGGATGCGTGAGATGCCTTTGGTCACCTTTGGGCAGCAGATCATGGGTTGCTGACTGGAGATAAAGCTCAGCGAATGCCTTGGTGGCCATCGAGATGGCTTACAAACATCATTAGGAGAGGGAAAAAGAGAAGTGACAGAGGGAAATATGCTGTAAAAGGATGTTCAGAGTCAGACCAAGGAAAATGAAGGAAGAGACCAGAAAAACCAAGACCCTGTGTGGACATCAGAGACCACTGTCCAGCCATTATCAGTGGCAGCTGCTCCTGCTCATCAGGAAGCCACTGGATAGGTGGCTGTCCTTTATCATTGCAAATTGACGTTTTCCTTTGAAAATGACAAGGAGGTAGAAGAGGGTTACAATTATCTACAGAAAGAACCAGTATATTACTAAGTCATTTATTTGACCTTGACAAAAATTTAGCATATATAAATGTTTATGATTGTTTAATGCCATTTTTATGACCTTGTCCATATCATAGGGGGAAAAAAGACCAAATTTTAAAATATTAACAAGAAAGCCAGCAAACTTATGGATCTTGGTGCAATTACTTATGCCCTAAGAAAGTATAGGTACTTTTCACTATGTTGAAATTTTAGTAACGAGCATACAATTTGTGTTTAGTTTATGGAAATTATCGTGAGTTACATCATTTAACTTGTCATTAATGTCCTTAAAAGACTCTTCATTTGCTCTGCTTGTCCTAAGCTGACATCATCTTTCAGAAAATGCTGCTCATATACTAAAGATAATTATTGAAAACTCATTTAAAATAATCTTGTACATTTTGGAGTAAATATGTATAACTCATGTTTTCAGCCTTTGCCAGTTTCACATTTTATTTAGTACAAAATATCTACCTAAGCCCTAGCTGCTTAAAATTAAAGTTTGAAGCAATATCCCCTGTTATTTTATGTTGAGATTCCAATCTGTGTAATCATAGGCCTTAATATGTGGCTATAAACCTGCTGTATTACTGTGTTTGTTTTTAAATTCACATTTAAATGGTTAAAATGCCTTCTATGGGACCTGCCTTGCAGAGACAGACTTTCCCCTATATCACTTCATGCCACAGTTTTGCTAAAAACAGGTGTTTGTCTCTTAAATAGTTGCTCAGTGCATCCTGCTCTTAGGATCGTAACTTCATAGGAAAACAGCCCAGTTTTTCCTTTCTCATGAGAGTCTCTTCCATGAGAAGGTTTTATTCACAGGCTTTTCATCTTGTTATAACCTGAACTCCACAAGGCCATGCACTAAAGCTTTTAAGGCACTATTGAGATGTGGTAGAACTTTTAAGAAGCAAATCCTAGCGGACGGAAGTGAAGTCATTGGGGGAGGGCCTTGGAGGGGACTTTGGGACCATTAGGCAAGCAGCTTCTCTACTATGTGCCCCCTCCATAAGGTCTTGTGCTACCCTAAGGATCAGGGCCAAGTGACCATGAACTGAAACTTCTTAAACCATGAGCTAAAATAATCCTTCCCTCTTTTAAATTGTTATCTGATGTATTTATCACAATCATGGTGGGGGGAGCTTACAAAGACACTGATCAACAGATCTTCTGAGTGGGTATCATGTGATCATGAAGCCAGGAAAACTCCCCAGACTTTAATTTCCAAGCAACGATAGCTTCAAAAGTTGGGATATTAATCCCAGGAACTCTGGTTAACAAGAGGCCCGCGTTTGTATGGAGAAACATTCGCTCCCCTGCCTACCTTGACTCACTGGGAAAACCACTGAATTCGTCCCTACTGCTTCTCAGACACCTTTCCCTTGGGTCTGGCCCTTCCCTTGCCACATAACCATGTTTCTTTGAGCAGATGCTACTCATATCGCAGCATGGACCACTGCGGGAAATTTGCATTAGTGAACTAAGTCACTGCACACGTGATTGACTGTATTCCCACCATTATATGGGGTGACACTTGGCTAGACACTGGGTAAGTGAAATAAGTCTCTACACTCAGAAGCTCATACAGGAGGCTAATTTCAAAGGACTCCAGTGGTTAAAGCCTCACGTCCACTGTCCTGAGCTACTAGTCCAGAGAGTGAGAAAGAGGAGGAGGAAAGGAGCTTCAAAGAGCATGCACAGAGATCGCTGACACTTGTAAGCCCACAGATGCATGGTGTCCCACAAAGTAGACAAGACCCTGCTATTCAAGAGTCAATGCCTTTCTTCATAAAGTCAGAGGTCAGTGTTTTATTGTTTAACCAATTATCCATTTATCTTTCTCTCTTTAAATATCTGAAATAACATTTGTCATGTTTTGGAAAGTCACATCTTTCCAGGACAGCTCTTATTATGACAATTTTTATATTGTGATGAGCTTTTTAAAAAATGGGTTCTAATAGAACCTCATTCGGCACCTGAGTAACACAAGTGAGAATCAAAAGAAGATACTCTGCCCCATGGAACCAAAAGTGTCTGCTGCTGAAGCATGGGGAAGACCAGAGGTTGGGTATGAACTTGCCATGAATTCCCACCATGGGGCTCTGCAGGTCACCTTCAAGCTGGTCTGAAATTTATACCTAGTCTTCCACCCACACTCCTGGGCACTTTTCAAAGACCTTGCCTTTGGGCATTTTTCTATCACTTGTGAAAATTTAATCAGAAACCTTAAAGCAGTGTTGTGACAAAATACCTGAGAAGAATAAACATAATAAGGAAAAAGGATTTTTGGGCTCATGGTTTGGGTTTCAGTCTATAGTGTCTCGGCCCTATGTGGGCAGGCAGAACATCATGGTGGAGAGGAGACTTGTCCATCTCAGGGAGGTCAAGAAATGAGAGAAAGGAAGGGCCAGGGTCACATTATCCCCTTCCAGAGCACACTCAGCGACCTACATCCCTCCAGCTAGGGCTACTTCCTAAGTTCCACCACCTGCCAGTAGCATCACAGGTTGGAGACCAAGCCTTCAACAAATGTACATTTGTGGACATCTACAATCCCAACCTTAACCAGGAAGAGGAGATACCACGATCCTTAGGTTAGTCAACTCAAGCCCACTTTTGATTTACCTGCACTTAGCTTGCTTAGAGGATGCCCTGGACCCTCAAATGACCAAAAGAAACTGACAAACTCTCTCTATATCTCAGATTTACTTGCCAATTACTTCTCTCAACGCTGATGAACAGGGGGGTCCATGTTTGCATGCTATAATTGTTCCTACAAAATTCCAAACAGAAGACTTGTGGTAGAAGATAGAAATTTATAGCCTAAAGATGTAAAATACCATTGGCTTTCTTTCATTCATCTTGTGTTCCACTCACATTTTTGTGCCTACTTAGGTAGTGCTCTCTCTACAGGGCTACCTCAGTGCCACACAGGGGGTCATAAAAGTGTCAGTAAACCTGGCTGTGAGGAACTTCACCTAGAAGAGACAGTCAGAAATAATTGTGCAGTTTCTGTGAATGTGCATTAGATAGCACGAAAGGACAAGATTCTCTCTGCCAGGGCTGCCAACAAAGGCTTTCCACAGGAGCCTTTGTGTATGTAAGCTTTAGGGTTAAAATATAGTTTAGGATAAAATCAGAGAAGTAAAGGAGAGAGACAGCCAGTTATTGGAATGATAGAGACAGAGTTACTGTGCTAATCACTTCCCTCTGGCTGGAGCAGTATACCTGCCATCCATTGCTTAGAAGAGAAGTTTACATTGGCTCACTGTTTCAGAACATTCAGTCCATGGTACACTGGCTCCAAGGTGGAACAGCACGGTGCAAGGGTATGGCAGAGAAAATTTGCTGTCTCACGCAGTCAGGAAGCAGTGAACTGAGGGAGGACATGGGTGGAGAATGCACCTTACCAGATCAGGCTTGGAGTGAACCCCATCTTCTGGCCAGGCTCCTCCTTTTGACAGTACATTCAGCTACAAAGTCTTCCATGGACAAATCCACTGGTAAATACAGCACTACCATGATTCAGTCACCCTCCAAAAGCCCCATCTCCAAATGCATGAGACTTTTGGGGAACAGTTTAGATCTAAAACCATCACATACTCCTTCAGACAATTTGTTGAACATTTAGCATCTTATGCTTTCCTTTTTCCATACTTTTTCCAACAGTGCGGTGCCGCTGTTCTGGAGAGGGCGGTCAATTTCTGCCAGTAACCCTGCCCCAGTGGCAGGCAGCACCCTCAAATGAGCAGCGTGGGGGCACCCAGGAAGCACTAACCATGTTTCCTCTCTTGTTCATTCCATCAGGCCTTCACCCAAGACGGGTCCAGAACTTAAGGCCGGGGTGCCCATGCCCCCCGCGGTTGCCCGCCATCAGCAATGAAAGGGTTATCCGGCAGCCGCAGCCATCACCACGGGATCACCTGCGACACGGCCTGCGACGCGCTGTCCCACCACTCGGACCGCAAGCCATACCTGCTGAGCCCGGTGGAGCACCACCCCGCCGACCACCCCTACTACACACAGCGCAACTCCTTCCAGGCGGAGTGCGGGGGCCCCTTCAGCGACCCCCTGGCCAGCAGCACCTTCCCCCGCCGGCACTACGCCTCGCAGCAGGAGCTCAAGGACGAGTGCGCGCTAGTGCCCCGCACACTGGCCACCAAGGCAAACCGCATCCCTGCCAACCTGCTGGACCAGTTTGAGAGGCAGCTACCCCTCAACCGGGATGGCTATCACACGCTGCAGTACAAGCGCACCGCCGTGGAGCACCGCAGCGACAGCCCGGGGCGCATCCGGCACCTGGTGCACTCGGTGCAGAAGCTCTTCACCAAGTCGCACTCGCTGGAGGGGCCGTCCAAGGGCAGCGTCAATGGAGGCAAAGCCAGCCCCGATGAGACGCAGACCGTGCGCTATGGCAAGCGCAGCAAGAGCAAGGAGCGCAGGGTGGAGCCCAAAACCCGGGCCAACGCCACGCCCACCTCCACCTCCTCACCCGGCTGGTGGAGTTCAGACGACAACCTGGACGGAGACGTGTGCATCTACCACACGCCCTCAGGCGTGATGACCATGGGCAGGTGCCCCGACCGCTCGACCTCCCAGTACTTCATGGAGGCCTATAACACCCTCAGCGAACAGGCGGTCAAGGCCTCCCGCAGTAACAGTGACGCCAAGTGCTCCACCTGCGCCAACCTGCCCGTCAACCTGGACGCCCCACTCCTGAAGAAGAGCGCCTGGTCCTCCACCCTCACCGTGAGCCGGGCCCGCGAGGTTTACCAGAAAGCATCTGTGAACGTGGACCAGGCCGTGGTGAAGTCTGAGTCGTGTCAGCAAGAACGCTCCTGCCAGTATCTGCAGGTACCATTTCTATGTCAAGGAATGGATGCTTAGAAGTCGGGCCTGGTTCGTGTGATCTTTTCTTCTGGGTCCTGGGTTTGGCTGTTGTCAGTGCGAATTTGAGCAAATTAGGTAACGTCTCAGTGACTGCGTGTTGGTTCCAGCTAGGCAAAGGCAAGAAAACAAATGCTACCACCTTCATCCAGTTATCTTACAAGATGGGAGACTGTGCTTTGCAAAGCCGTCCTACACCGAGGCAGGGAGCTATTCCCGGCTTGTATTCCTCTCTTGTCTGAGTAGTCATGCAATGGGGAGGAGAGGGGAGTGCAGTCAACAAAGAATTTTAAAATAAACCTAACTTTTTTTTTCAAAAGTAAACAGTGATCTTGGGAGTTGGGGAAAGAGTTTAATTAGATCTATTCAAGGTTTTAATTTTTTTCCTTAATTGTAAAATTCGGCATGAAGCTATTAGTTTGAGGAAATTGGTCTACAACTACACCACTGTAATGGTCATGACCGTCACCAGCAGTGACCACACCCCTGCCAACCCATTCCCAAAGCCTCACACAGCTGGATGACGAGTGCAGATGCAGCCAGTTTGGATAAGCACAGATAAGCACAGCTGCAGAGGCCTAGGACAACACAGAAGAGGAGGATCGGGTGGAGGGGGCAGCATCTGCACAATGAAATACAATTAGTGTCAGCATGTAAATCCCACACAGGCAAGACCCAAGTGGGCTGTGCTTTCTCTGCAAGGTCTTCTTGTGATTTTCCCTTCCATCTCCAGGTCACTGAAGCTAGATCGAACCTGGGTAAAATTAAGGGCATGATGGGGGCAGGGTGTCTTTCCTCCACCATTTTAACTTTTCCCAAGACAAACCCTCCCTGTGAATGACTAGCAGATGTTTTTATTTCAGAGTATTTTTACTCTGTTCTTTCCTGCTATCTCTATCTTTAAAAAAAGAAAAAAAAATTTACTGGACTCTAAAAATATGACACTTCCAGCTTAAGAAAAAATGTAAGGAAAAGTTCTTAGACCATGAGATGTGCCTCTTTTTGCCCTCTTTGGACTCCTCACAGATAAGGCTCCCTTGAGAGTGCTACCCTAAGTCCCAAGAAAGCTCCAGGGTGACAGTACCTAGGTAAGGACAGGCCAGAGCCCACTCCTGATGGTTAGAAGGCTGTATGTAGTTTTCACAATTCCAGGGTCAGTATTTCCAACCAGAGGTGTGTTGTCTAATTTATTGTGAGGTTACTGCACATGTTTAGTAAATTATTGAAAACGGTTAAAATTTTTCAAGCTAAATGGATCATTTAATCTAATTAGAATAGAAAAAAGCAGCCTCAAAGGAAAACGGAAGCATAGTGGCTTCCACCAGTAGCATGTGATGGAGATGGAACTAGAACTCAATTCTCTTTACAGGAAAATGCAGATAAAAGATTTAGAAATCATTAAGCACCTAAACATCATCCACCCTGAAAGTATTTTGAAAAGAATACTTGTCTTAAAGAAAGATGGAAATTCTATTTTCAAATAATTTATCTTCTGTTAGACCAGTTTTTTAATGTATTTAATTTTACTTTTTACTTTTAAAATTATATTTATTGGTACATTTTAGGTATGTATAGTGATCACATTTATCAGAGGGAATTTGTACCTGTCTATAACACAATTTTTAAAATGATGGGAAAATATGGAAGAAAGTGAAAATGAAAATTTCATAAATAAGGAAGGGGAGCAGGGCTGAAGGAAAGGTAGGGAAATGAGAAAAAACGAATCATGTTAGACTAGTTTTTGAAATGAAATATTTGAAAAAAGTATAAGGAAAACAATAAGATAAAGTAAAGTCCGTTTATACATCACCCAACTCGAGAAATAAAACTCCTAAGTGCAATGGATCACACATATACCTTCCTCAGTCCCATCTTCTTATCTTTCTCCCTTGAGTAATAACTGCTCTAACTTTCCTGCCCAAATGCCTTGCTTTATATCCCGAGATTGTTGAAAACTGGGGTAAAATTAGTATTGTCCACTTTACATTGGACAATAAGTAACCCTGACTGTGTTAGTTTAAACTTTTAAGTGTAAACTGAACTCCAAGCCACCTTATTTAACAAATATTGATATCTATTGCGTTCCTATCCTGTACAAGGCTTCAAGATGGCAAAAACAATCCTCATTCCGCATTTCGGTGGGAGGTGCTGGCATGCTGGTGAATACACAAAATGTAGAGCTGAGTGCTGGGGTTCCCACAAAATCAGAGAAAGAAGAGCAGTGCATTCCCAGGTTGGGGCAGAAGACGCCTCTGAGGTCCCGTCCAGCTCCTTTCTTGCACTGAGGAGATGGAGAGAGAGTCTGTTGTCCTCTGGAAGCTCCTTTCGGGAAATAGCTTAGCCAGCCCAAATCGGCTCCCAAGGAAGAATCTTACTTATAAACTCCTTCTTAGAAGCAAATTTGGAGCAGAGGCTTTTAGGTTTGTTTTGTTTTTGTTTGGTAGTCATACTGGCTTAGTTGCCAACCAGTGTAGAAGCTGGTTTAACATCAGCATCACGAGGTCTACATAGCGGACAACGCCCTGGTTGCCAAGTTCTGCAATGTTTTAGTCCTTGTCTGCACTCACTGCTGGCATGGCTGGGAGCTGTCCTTTCTGCTCTCTGGGCTTCCTTTCTCTGCTTGAAAATGAAGCATTTTGTCTAGAAGGCTACAGTCTCAGTTCATATTTTTGAACTCCTAAGTTCCATATGTCAAAGTACTAATTAAAGCAATTTTCAAGTGTTAGAAGACCTGGGGCTCTCATTTCATCACTGTCTTCCAAAAGAAGATGTTTCTCAAATGATCATCTGATTTGCTCTTTGAAACTCTTGACAGTATTTTTTACAGTCAAAGAAACCAAGGTTTAATAAGTTAGGTTAATAAACTTGCCCAAAGGTACACGGAGTATCAACAACACAGCAGGGCAAAACTGATTCAGCTGCATTCGGAGGCTGAATTCTTCCCACAGAGCAGGCCCAATCCTTGTCCTGTCTAAATACAAAGCAGACACTGGAAGCCACAGGGATGAAATACCTATTTTGTTTTAGAAGCCATGTATATCTATATCTCATGTAGGACTCAAAGAAACTTTGTAAAGAAGGACTACTTTACTTTTGCAGACAACATTAAATACAGAAGCCTCAATCATCTGGCCCAGAAAGCAGAGACAGCACTGGACCCCATCGCTCTCCAATTTCATAATACTGCAGAAATAGAAATCAGTGCATTTCTGTCATGTGTAACCTGTTTTCACTCTATAGCAAATGTATGTGTGCATTTGAGCTCCGGTGTGTGCATGCCACAAAGAGGGTACAGACATGGAATTAGCAGCAGAGTAACTAGTGCAGTGTCACTCACTGGACTGTCCATCGATGTCTCTGATTTGATTTGAGATTGAACAAAGTTCAGTTAATATTCACCAGTAATAGAATATAAACGCTAGCAAATTTCTGGCTTTATAGAATTATCGCTTAGAATTAACTTTCTGTAAGCCACTGCCATAATTCTATAGGAAATGAGAAATCTATGGGAGTTTATCCTGTGCCCCACACAGAATTAGAAATCAGATACTCTCCCTGGGAATCATTGCATGTTCCAGTCAGTACGGTCAATCAGCAGTGTGTGCTCACTCACAAGCTGTTTGAAGTTAATTTAAAAAGAGAGAGACTCTCTTCTCCCCAATATTGTTATTTTTAAATGTCAAGAATCAGATGTCTGCTGTTTAGAACTATTGTACCACTGCCAGTGCCTTTCCGTATCAGGGTTCGGAGCAGGAACATGGATTTGAAGACATTAAAACTGTTTCATTCTCAGTTGAGATGTGATTGGCTTTTATACATTTGGAATAAAGCATTTATGGCACGTCTCAGGGTAAGTGCTAATGGTTAAGTAAATAACAGGCAGAGGGAAAAGGGTCTTGTTTTTGCTTTTAAAAAGCAGAATTCTTGGTTCTCTTTATGCCTCTTTGTGTAAATGTTACGTGTTGTGTGACTGGCATTGAAAGCCATTCAGAAGAGCAAGATTTTCGATTTCCAACTGTTAACCTAAAAGGAAAAAAAAAAGATCCCTTCAAATCATGGATTTTTTTTTTGCATTCATGCAGCAGCTGAAACAGGAAAAGGGAAACAAAACGCTCTCGGGTAGAAGTAGAGAGAGAGACACACACACAGAGAGAGAGAGAGAGAGAGAGAGAGAGAGAGAGAGCAAGCCAGAGCCCGGCAAGACAGCACTCTCAGAAATGAAATTGTAGGAGAGCAAAATGATCGACCTCTTTAAGGCTGAGTGGGTTTCTTCAGTGTGTGTGCAAGTTTCAAGAAATGGACGCACTGACCAGGTTTGGGTATAACTCTTTTGGTACTTTGTGTGTGCTGAGTACATGTTGTTCGTGTGAGTGGGGTTTTCTTGGAGGTGGGGAGGCAATTTAGGAAGGGTGGTTTTAGTATTTTGCTATTTTATGTCTTCTCTAAACAATGGTTAGCAAAACTGAAAGAGCTTGTGAACTAATGTCTGTTTCAGTGGCAAGAAAACGGGTGGGGACATCAGTCAGCTACCTGCAAGTCTGTGTTCCCACAGGCTTCATGAGCCGGTAACTGGCACGATCTAGGCTGCTGTGTGCTGTTGGGGGACATTGTGAGCTGGTGACTGAAATGTGATCCGCCGTTTTCTTGGACAGGAATCCTGGTACTTACTGTTCCTGTGAAAAATTACAATTTCTGGATGATTGGTTTTTGAGGGTAGTTTCTGTTTTGGGGGGAGGGTGTTGTCTTTTGCTTTGCTTTCTCTGTTGTTTAAAGTAAGATTCTACCAAAATCACTGAAGTAGCATTCAGAGCAAGCATGAGCCCAGGAATTTTTTTATTCAGGTGCAGTTTATTTTTCAAATCAGTTTCAAGATTATTTCCATTCTTGCCCTGGAGGAGTTTTCTTTTTCTGGCTGAGTTTTTCCTTCCTCTGGTCTTAAAACATTTGAAATAATACTACTTCAGTACTTCACACTACTTTATGTGAAATTTATGGAAGTATTAATTCTGCTCATGACTTTGGCTACCATAGTGTCTCCATGCTGCCTTTGTCTAAATCTTTGTGAATCACATTAGCCAATGATTTTATTTACTTTTAATTTAAATTGCTTTAATAATCCAGCAAATGAATGCCAAGTATGTTGAATGCATTTCCTATTTGGCTTGCACAGTTTTCTCCTTAGTTTTTCCTGAACTTAACAGAGATTCTTTTCATTGATTAGAATGATGAAGTTACTTCTGCTAACTTTTCGAATCTCTGATTACCTCCAGAATCCTGGCCAGTCTCTCTCTGTCTTTGTCTCTCTGTCTCTGTCTCTGTGTCTCTGTTTCTGTCTCTCTGTCTCTTTCTGTCTCTGTGTGTCTCTTTCTCTCTCTTTGTCTCTCAGTCTCTCTATTTATCTATCTTTCTCTTTCCATAATTCTTGCTACTGCCCATATCCAATAAAAGTGGAGAAAAAGACAGTTAGCAGGACCCAGAAAGATTCAGTAGTTGGCATGAGAAGATCAGAAGTCCTAAAAAAGCCCTCCTGGACATTGTTAAAGAAACTTCACAGTGGTTGGCCAGCTATTTCATTGTTCTAACTAGATTTTCTTCCACACCCCAGAACACTTAGCCACAGCCAGGGGTTTCCGCATGAACACACACTCACTGATCTCACAGAACTTCCATTGACTCTGTGAAGATATAACACTGTTTAGCAAAGAGAAAACAAAAAGCTGGCCCTGGATCTCTCCACGGCTGGTGGACTTCATACCCCCTGTTGCCAGTCTCCTGAGATGCCAATTTACTTGTTTACAAATTAAGGACAGTAACTTGAGGTAATGACTCACCATTCTTTAAGAAAAAGATGTGTCCACTTTAGCCCATGTGAGATCTCTGCATTACAAAACCCTACACAGTGATTTGTGAGCAATAGAACACACTGGCCGCTTGTTTCAGGTTTTTTAGGAACCACCAAAAGATCCTTGCAGTATTGGCAAGCTGACTTTCATTTGTAATGATGATATGTTTTTCACCACTTTGGTTTTAGTTTCAAAGGCAGTAAACATTCATGGAATATTGTGAATCCAGAGTCCAGTGGAATAAATCTTTAAGTTTAGTGTCATCTTTCCTATTTTGGAAGAGCAGTAATTACTGAGATCCTCAATCACAAAGCTTGCTGATGGGAGGTCGAATCACATGGGAAACCATCTGTAGAGTCTACAAAGTTGAAACCTGAAACTTTATGTGCCTCAATCTCTAGTACTGTATAGCAGACATTTCTTGTTGTAGTCCAGGAAAGTTGTGCAGAGAAAAAAAAATCTGTCTTCCAGGGAACACCAGATTACTATTTATTAATAAAGCCCATGAAGACTTATGTGATTTTACTGTGATTTGCATGACTTATATGAAAATTTGACTCGATACTTTTACCTTAGATGCAAAGCCATATGTGCGTGGCTTCACTTCTAGAGCTTGTTTATCTGTTCCACTGCCCATCTTGCCTGCCCCTGCCAGCAGGTTCCTGACTGCCATTTAGAACACTGCAGCACAGGGAGAGACTTTTTTTAAAACCTTATTTTAGTAGATGCATATTTAAGTATGCATTTTTCTCAACCCTGAGACTCAAACCACAGTAGGAAAGTGCATTAATTTTTTTCAATGAATGATTCTCAGTTGGAATGATTTCCAAGCCATTTGATTTTCCAACCGAGTCTTCTGTGTTGTAGCTAAAAGGTAATGATATAAAGAATTACTTAATGACTGTTAAACAGTCGGCAAAAGTTAGAGGAGGGAACATAGTATAAGAAAAGTCATACCACCTACTCCTCGTGTTACTACTCACCTGTCACCCATTTCTGCTATTTTTAACTCTTTTATGTCTTAGAAACTCACATGACTAAGGAGAGACCTCTCCTGGTTTTCTGATCTTTTTAAAACTTTTTTAAAAAAAAAGTTTAGCAATATACTATGCTTTTTTTCCTTTTCTAAGACAAAGAGACTTCTAACCATATTTGCAAACCAGATTTTCTAGACGAGCTGGTCTTTTATTTTGTATACATTAGCTTACTGTTCTGTGTGGTCTGGAGTCTTTGCTCATTGTCCTCGCAGAGTGAGTCCACAGGGCTCAGGTGTGCGATCCTGAAGACCCGCTTGGGAAGCGTAATAACGTGGCCTGGAGGTGACTCTGTCCTGTCCTCAGGGGACAGGTTGGTGGGCATCGCCTCCAAACTGCAGGGCCTGCTGCACCTGTACCCTGAAAGACACATGTGCACATGTGCTATCTGATGGAACAGATACATTTTAAATGTGCTGTTTCATATAACCCATGCAAGAGGAATAAAGCTAGGGTAGGGAAACAGGCTCTTCCTAGAAAACTTGTAACTTTTCTTTCCCAGTGATTACACTGAATTTCATCTCAGGAGTGAGGGGGTCCTGCTCCCCTGCTGTGAGGGTCAAGCAGGTTTTAGTCCCTTTAATACAAAAAGACAGCCACCAAGCATCCAACAACCATGAAAGGAAACAACTTCTGCCCCTGTCCTTTTTAAAAACACAGTTTAATATACACTTACAGTATTCTCTGACTGTTCCTGTGTTCCTGCTCTAAGACTAAAAATCTTAAGGTGTACAATTAAAGGCAGAATTTTTCTTTTCTTCTTTTTTTTTTTTTTCCAAGATGACATGTTTAGAATATCAGGACCACCTCCTTGGAAGGGCATCTTGTTTATCTCCCATTCACAATCCCCCCAGCAGTGTGCTTATCTTCCATCTAATCATCACCCTATAAAAGAAACCTTTGAAATTATTTAGTCCCGCTTGCCTATTTAAAAGTGAGAAAATAAGCCCTAAAAAAAAAATACCTTGACAAGGTCAGTAATCTCAGCAGAGCATGGGCCAGCTGGCTCACTTCCTGATGTCTTAGGCGATCTGGGAAAACCTGCAAGACTTTTCAAAGACCAAAGCATCCATCCTCTCCACATTCTTTTGAAGCAATGGGGTCAAGGCACTAAGAGGCCAGAGAGAGTGGAACTGATCTGAGAGCTAGACTTACACATATTCGTGGTTTGAAAGCTAGTAATAGATGAAGACAGCTGCTAACTGAATAATTTTCAGCAATTTGTAATTCTGTGGCTACAGAATTTAAAAAGACCCGGATGTGTTTCTCCTATTATGTCTAAGTGCCTCCCGCATCTCAGTGGTTGCATTGTGACTAGTAAATCATGTTGCACATGAGCACAAATAGAATAGAGCGGACTCAGATTTGGATATGCAATCTCTAAGCTCTATGCTTCTCTCCCGCTTCTTCCTCCCACTTGGCAGGCAATATCCCTCTGCTCAGTTTCCTGATAAAAATGAACAGAGTCATAACTATGTAGTCAAAGGCCCGGAGGGCTGCAGGCTAACCTCCTGCTCGTTGCATCTAAAATTAAAAAGCAAGTGATTGGGGAGAAGATCTGTGTGTAAAGTTGGAGATGTTGCCCAAAGCACGATAGAGGAGCATCAGTGTGGGTAGCTGTGAGCGTGATAGTATCACATATGAGCCTTTGCAGAACCATATAAATGTATGGTCCTTTATCATTCAATACTGTCTATTGTTGACTGTTTAGCAGTAAAGTTTCATTAAATATATGTGCACAAAAGTCACCTTGAAAGCATATACAAAGTGAGGGTTTCTGGCATAAACCCAAAAGCTTCTGGTTCCATAGATCTGGGGTGATTTATACAGGTAATCCAAAGACCACGCTTTGAGGTAAACTGGCTAATCCTAGGGAACTTCAGGTTTAATTTCTCACTGTTTTTACTGTAGGGGGCAGTAGAGTCTAATTGATGGAAAAAGGACTTCAGATGCTGTGCCTACAATCTTTAATATTAATGCTGACTTCCTGCCTGGCTTGGGGCTGTTTCTACCCCAAACTTGCATTTCTGTTTATTTCAAATGAGCACAGCGGTGCACACCTGTAATCCCAGAAGTCTGGGAGCTGAGAAAGGAAGACACTAACCTGGGCAACTTACCAAGACCCTATCTCAAAATAAAAATAAATTAAGGCTGGGGATGTAGCTCAGTGTAGAGTTCTGCAAAAAATGGGAACAGGTGACCATATCACTGTTTTGATTCAGGTCTTAGGAGGGAAAAGTCACATTTCAAATTGAGGCATGTATTAGAAGCTAAGTACAAAATGTTTTGTAGTTATAAATCCTCAACTATCAGTTTGCTTTCACTCCTCCATGTGTTTTGAAGTCCATAGCACTTTTCTCTGTATGTTTGCTTGATCTGATTTCCCTTAGAAGGGGCCTCACTAGGGGAGCAGACAGCATATGTCGACCTCATGAGTTTCATTAGAGTGGGGTTGGGAGAACTCCTGGGAAAGATGGCCTTCATTTCCTGAAGTCATTTCTTGAGAGTGAAAAGTTCACCAAAAGATCTTGTCATTTTGAGTTATAAGAGTGACATGAAAAATGATAAAGACCCTTCTGTGGGCCCAGCAGGACCTGTGAGGTCACCCAGGACCTGCCGTCCATACTTACAAGGCACCTGCTTCCCCGGCTGTAGGTGTTAACCTGGCTCAAGTGCCTCCAGCAGAAGAGGTGTGCAGAGGAGCCTTCCTGCAGGAACACTCCCTAGTGAGTCCCTTCGAGGACCCCAGCTGCTTCTAATCCCTGAAGAATTCCTGTCTTCTTTTTCTCCTGTCCTTAAGTAGCAGAAGTTTAGCTGGCTTCTGTGTAACTCAGAGTGCCAGGGAAAGTAACTGTCATTTGTTTGCAAATGAAACCTGAGCTGTCTGAAATTGACTCCCCTGCGAAATCGTTCCCCCATAACACTCCTCCAGCCTTCGGGGTGCTTTTAGATGGTTTCCTGTTCTCCTACCTCTTGGAAGCGGTCCATGGCACGCTGAGCAGACACTTTTAGTCAAAAATGCCTATAAATAGCTGATTTTCCTGCTTGCCGCCTTCTCTCCAAGGCTTTCACAAAGGAGATGAAACAAATCCACCAAAAACAAGAGCTCTCCATGAGGGGCATGTGGCGAGGCTTGTGAAAATCAGCTCCATGGGCCCAAAATGATTGTGTGGGTCGCTTTGCCATGTTTGAGTTA